CAGAAGTTGAATGTCTTTAAGTTTTCTCAAAATAAGTCATAGGTAACTATACCTGAAATTGTGTCCAGGAAAATCCTAACAACAAAAGTACATTCTCAATATTGTCTACTGCAATAGTTCCAAACATGGCATTTTATTCAATCATTTACATCTGGTTCCAAACACATCTGACAAGTACATTGACACAGGAAACTACAAACCATGTTCTCAAGTGGTTTGTTGTTACAGGTGTTTATTTTCCCCTTATCTGTGTGAAAAGAAACTGAACCACTGGAAAGTACAGGTTAAACTCATCAACTGTAGCTGACAAAAGCAGACAAACTTGAGGCAAAGGAATGTAATTTATGAGGACAATTCCAACCTATCTAAAAGAACAATTACATAAGACCATAAAAGTATATTATTCAAGATATATCTTTACTTGTCTTAGTGCCCTTAATAGCATTACTTATATCAGGAGACGGGGAGAGGCCAAGCCAGCTGTGAGAGAGCAGGAATAAGGATTTACCGTGGGTTTATAAAGACTCCAACATCGATCCATTTTATTCTCTGTCGCAAATAGAGGATATTATTTTCAAATTCTCATTAACCTGTTGGTGCTGTTGTAGAGATAGGCATAAAGTCTATTTTTGGTGGATCATGTAGCAAACACTGTCTATTTCTAAAGACCAAATTGAAATTCAGACAAGGTAAGAGGAAAATGTATCCAATGTGGATTACCACACCACCTAATTAGTGATGGACGGTGGAGCAGACATGGAACAAGGTTGTACCTGGGGGTTAACCTTTGGACCTAAAATTGGACCTAAATTTAGCACCTTCTATTAGGACTTAGCATTTTTACTACTTAAAACAGCCAGTCCAATTACATTTATTGATCTCTCACTGCCTTCTCCCCTCACTCATGAACAGAACCACATGATATTTTAACTCTTCCCATTGAGGCAATAATTCTCCTCTGAGAGCCACCTTTTCTTGTCAGGAACCGTGGCCATTAGACTTGGAGGAGCTGAACCTCATCCCAGCTGCTTCACTCTCAGCTACAGACCATCCCACCACCATCTGTAGGTCTTGGCTGGAGGGAGCCAGCAGATCCATGTCATCCACAAAAAGTAGGGATGAAATCCAATGGTCCCCAAACCAGACCTGCTCAGGTAAGCTGGGTTAAGGAAATACTCAAAGTAATCCTTCCACCCCAGCTGTGAGTCCGAGTGTAGTTTCATTATTGGAATTCTGTGTAAGTCATGAATTGAACATGATGTTCAGGCATAAGGATTTCCAACAGTACACTTGGCACCAGGACACCATAGGACAGGCATGGATGATCGCTTATAAAGTCTTATAAATATCTGGGGCTTCTAGACCAAGAGAAGGGTGGAGCTCTCCACCAATTACCACCTGGTGAATAGTTGAACATGCTGGAAGGGGAGGATGCTGGACAGCCTCAGCAAGCGCAAACAAGTAGTTAGGGTGTGCTGGAATGCTGCTCACTGAGACCTCGGTCAGGGACATATTAAACTCCCACCTCTCTGAGAGCTTCTCTGAGATTTCACCGGAGGCTGCGGGAATAGAGTTTGATTTGACCACGTTTTTTGCCTCTATTGGCAAACAGCTGCCTCTTGTGGCCGTACGCTCTGTAGTATCGTTAATGGAAACAACCCCCAAACCTGGTGGTGGACACTTGCAGTAAGAAAAACTGTCAAGCTAGAGAAGATGTTTTATTTAGCCCTTTTGGTTAGTGAGACTCGTGAGGTGTGTCCCTCTGGGGGGGCTGCAGAGACGAAAACTCAGGCCAGAGAGCTATTGGAAGAGTTCCTGAAGAAAGACTTCTAGTAGGCCTCATGGCAATCAATTCTGGTACAATGGAAACAATCTATCAAAATGGCTTCAGCATGGAAAAATTAGTATGCAGATTAAAAAATATGCCATGACTTTATGTTTAGATTTAAGCTGCTTTTTGTTCTTGATGAGGAATGAGAGGTACATCAATCTTCCAGACCTCAGCCAAATACCAATCTCTGGTGCTGATTCCCTGTCAGCTTTTATGACAGCTATCAAAGACAGATCCTTCTGTGGTAATTTTCTCCTAACTTAAAAGATTGTGTAAATGTGGTTGCCCTGCATTTAACCTCTTGAACCTTTGGTCTAAGGGCTGGGTTAAGAACAAACAAAGGATAGGTACATGATAAATGGCATGGACTTATAGAACACCCATTTGAGGCAAGATACTTAAAAGAGCTTTACTCTACATTCACACTTCGATGGTGACAAACTACATTGTACTGTCATCTGACCACCATCAGCAATGTAGATTAGGTGTCTTGCCCAAGGAAACAATGACTGGGACAGATGGAGTTGGGGTTTAAACCGGGGGCCCTCCTGTCGCAGCACAAACTAATTTTTCTATTAAAATACATATCTTTGTGTTAAATTTCAGTGTAGTTTAGTTGCAGTGTTCTCTACTCAAAACATATAAAGGGAACACTCAATATTATCATAGATCTGAATGAATGAAATATCATTGAATACTTTGTTTTGTACATGAATGTGAATGTGCGAACAAATGAATCACACAAAAAAAAGAAATGGAAATCACATTTATTAACTAATGGAGGCCTGGAATTGGAGTCACACACAAAATAAAAGTGGGGAAAAAATGTAAACTCCTTTAAACAGGTCCTTAAATGAGGCCCAGTATTGTGTGTGGCCTCCACATCTCTGTATAACCTCCTTATAACTCCTAGGTATGCTCCTGATAATGTGGTGGATGGTCTCCTGTGGGATCTCCTGCCTGACTTGGACTAAAGTATTCACAAACTCCTGGACAGTCTGTGGTGAAACTTGACAGTGGTTAATGGATTGAGACATGATGTCCCAGATTTGTTCAATGGGATTCAGGTCTGGAGATCAGGCTGGCCAGTCCATAGCTTCAATGCCTTCATCTTGCAGGAACTGCTAACACAATCGAGCCACATTAGTTAGCATTGTCCTGCATTAGGAGGAACTCAGGACCAACCACACCAGCATATGGTCTCGCAAGGGGTGTAAGGATCTCCACTTGGTACCTAATGACAGTCCGGCTACCTCTGGTGAGCACATGCAGGGCTGTGCGGCCCTCCAAAAAAATGGCACCCTACACCATTACTGACCCACCAAACTGGTCATGCTGAAGGATGTCACAGACAGCAGATCACTCTCCAAGGTGTCTCCAGCTGCCTCCAGATTCTGTCATGTCTGTCACATGTGCTCAGTATGAAACTCATCTGTGTAGAGCACAGGGCACCAGTGGCGAATTTGCTAATCCTAATGTTCTCTGGCAAATGCCAAGCACCCTGCTGTTGGGGTGTGAGCACAACCTCTATCTGTGAGGACCCTCATACCATCCTCATGGAGTTGGCTTCTGACCATTTGCACAGACACATGCACATGTGTGGCCTGATGGAGGTCCTTTTGCAGGGCTCTGGCAGTGCTCCTCCTGTTTCTCCTTGCACAAAGGTGGGGTTAGCGGTCCTGCTGCTGGGTTGTTATCCTCCTAAGGCCTCCATCATGTCTCCTGGTGTTCTCTTGGTGGCCTTTCTCCTGGTAGCACCTCCTGGCTCTGGCCACTATGCTGACGGACACAGGAAAACCTTCTTGCCAGAGCTTCCGTTGATTTGCCATCCTGGATGAGCTGCACTACCTGGCCAATTTGTGTGGGTTGTAGAGTCCGTCTAATGCCACCTCCAGTGTGAAAGCAGCACCAACATTCAAAAGTAACCAAAACATAAGCCATAAAGCATTGGTACTGAGAAGTGGTCTGTGGTCCCTACCTGCAAAACCACTGCTTTATTGATTGTGTCTTGCTAATTGCCAAAAATGTCCACGTGTTGTTTATTCCACTTGCACAGCAGCATGTGAAATTGATTATCAATCAGTGTGGCCTCCTAAGTGGATGTTTGATTTGATTGAAGTGTGTTGTTTACGTGTTCCCTCTATTTTTCTGAGCAGTGTTATTTATCATACAAGAGGCAAAGCCTGGTTTATGCTCAGAAACCAGGTCATCTGTGAGTGTGTCAAAGTTAACGCAGATATGAGCTTGTCATATGAGCTCGTCAAACCGTTACATGGACACCCACAATCCTAGCTAGTTCGTGATTGTCCCTCTTGCATTGTGGCATGGAATAACATAGCGCAGACCACGCTTAAAAATTGGGTATACATCAAAAATATCTGCATCTTACCTGCAACAAGATAACCGAGACACACTGCTGCGGGAGTATACACAGCCCTTAAGGCTGCAAGACCAGTAGCCCAAACATACCTTCACCAGAGATCATCAGGGCAAATCTGACAACAAAAACTTTACTTTGAAACATAATTTTTTGCAAGTTAAACACACAGTTGCCATGGTTTAACACTACTGGTTTAATATGTGAATTGATGAGACTGATAAGCCTCAACCTTTTTTCCTCAACACAGTTGAAACTGTGTGAAAAGCTTTTTGTCAGAGGATTACAAATTGCAGTGCTGAATCTAAACAACTTTAGCCTTTTGAAGAATGTTATAGCACAAAAGCATTCCAAAGAGGGCGGTCCAAAACTAGTGAGTCACTTTTACCAAGTGAATCAAAAACTAATCCTTAACCTCTGCTTGAATTAATTACACTTTAACAAAATAAATCTTTGATGTTTTTGGAAAGAGTGGGAAGGCATCATTTTTTTATTCTTGAACATTTTTAACCTCTCATCCATGCACTTACACAAGTTTTTCCTCTCTGCTGGTCCCTCTGCTACAGTAAACCACTTCCAGGTTTGGCTCCTTTTCCTCTGAGACTTTTAAAATGCCACTGGTATTTGAGCCTCACTTTTACATACCCAGCACCTTACTGATTTGGAAAGTTCTCTTCTTAGAGCAAAAATCTGTTTCCATTTTAGCAAACTAGGGTTATGCAATTTGAGGCTGTGCCAGAGCATGTTCACAGAAAGACAATAGAGACCTCTGGTGGTCAGAACTCAAGAATTTATTAAATTTACTTTTTATTATGTCAGGATCACTATTTAAAGGGAAGACAGTTAAAACACTTACTTTTAATATGTTTGACATCTTTAATGATTGGGGGTGAAATTTATACACATTTATGACACAAAGACTCTCAGATAAATCCAGTGTTTTACTTATTTCAACTCAAAAGAAAATACCAAAAGTTCTGACAAAAGCACACACAAATTACTAACTTAACAGGCTTTAGAAGAGGCAGATAGGTCACTGAATGGTGTGCACTTGGGTGTCCACAGAGTGGGACACAACCTTTCCATCAATAATTTGCTCTATGATGGTTTTCACTCTCTTCTCAATGTGAGGTTTTTGCTCTGCAGAGGGAACACAAAGTCAGTCTGATGCAACAAGAAGGGGACTTTTCCAAGATTTTATCACTAAAACACCAGGATTAAAGGTTAAAAGGTTGTCATTCTTACCTTCAACTTCCTCCCTCACTTGTTTGATGATCACAACCCTTTAGAAGAGATGGAATTCATAATAAAGTTTAACTTTAACTGCTGTGAATAGATGCTGTTTATTTCTAGGTAGAAATGACTCACTTCTTTTGCTCATATGCCTCTCCTTCCAGCAGCCTTCTGTACTCATCAATCTCCTTCTCCAGCCTTGGCTTAAGCTCCAGCAGCACGCTGTAGTTGTTCTGCAGCTGCTGCAGAGAGGCCTTCATGTTCTGCAGCTCTGTCTCCAGAGTGGTGATGATCGACTGGTACTGGCTGAGCTGAACAGAGTACTGCGTGTTGACCTCAGAGACATTCTGCTGCAGGCACTCAACCTAAAGGACAGACAGGGGAAATATGAGGACGGGTGTCATTTCAACCTGATTGTACGATCAAATATAGATTTTAAGGTGGCTTTGCAGTCATCTGCTTTGCAGATTTGAAAAGCCGTTTATCTGCTTTTTGTCTGTTTTTGCCTTAACATATCTTCTGCAATATTTTCAACTCTCCCCTTCTTAAAGTATATTTGCTCATTTGACTACATATGTTTTCTGTCACCAGACAGCATCAAATTCTTGACAACTGGATAACAGAAATATGTTTGTGGACTTGGACATGAAAATTTCTAATGCACATTTTTTTCATTAGGGACTACTGTTTGGTAGTTTGCAAGCTTTTGATTAAGTTCAATTTTGATTTACATCAACCCATCATGCAGGTAATCCTCATATACAATTTTGGATTTTAAATGAATGCATTTGAGCTCTACCTGATAAAAATAAAAGGTTGCACATCACAGCCTCCAAACATCACAATTTAAACTTATAATTCAGGCTGAATAGATGAGCTACCTTACTGACAGGGCTGGTTTAAACCATTTAGTATGCTTTGGCTTTAATGCCAAGGAATATTGTACCTTCAGGCAGCCATTGTGGTGGTTTAATTTAATTATTGTTTCCCTGCCTATGGGAGTGGTGATTTGCACCAAGCGGAAGGAATAATAAAATCAGTCCTGCCTTCACATTCTCTAACTTCAACAATTGGCAGCTGGATTTTTTTAAACTTGCCGCTTCTGGCTATTCCATCTGGAAGATGTACCCTACCACACCTTCAAACTGTTTTTGGAATAGATTCGTTTTAAGAATGGCCCAGAGATCAACCTCAATAACAAACATATAAACTATGCTAAAACTACACCAAACACATCTAAAAAAAATAATTTTCTCTTCAGTTAAAAAGATTGGTGAATACTTAGCTACTTGCTGCAGAACAATTGTGTATATTTTGTGTAATTTCATGGGTTTGAGCCACAAGATAAAAAATTGGCTCAGCATAACTGAAAAAAACCCTAAAATGAACATGACATTTATACTGATAGTCAGTGGATGTAATCTTGTAAATAAGCTGTTCATGCTGGCTAGCATGACAAAATACATGTTTTTGATTTGAGGACATGTCATCATTACATTGATTTAAACTGTTACAGCTTTAAAGAACTGAAGTCTGAAGCTTCCTTCTTATTCTTTTTTATTTAAATAAACAATGGAAGTTTGAATTATAATTGACGGATTAATCTCAATAAAAATAAGAACTTGTTCACATTAAGACTCTCCCACTGGGGACCCACTGCAGACCCTGACAGCAGTGGAGAGGATTTCATGTCGATCTTTTATTTAAAAGGGACATTAAGAATGATTCTAATACTTTGTTCAATCAAGGGAAATTATAATTGTTTTGTCACACGCTCTATTAATGCATGTATCCTTAGATTTATGATGAATTTAGAGGTTGAATCTTTAAAACCAGGAGCACTTAGCTATGTGCCTCACCTCAGTGTACAGAGACTGTCGGCTTATCACTAGAGACTGGTAGGTCCTCTTCAGCTCTGAAATCTCAGAATGATACGTCTTCACCTCTGTCTTGCAGGTGATGATTTGGTTTTGGAGAGTTTCCATCTTCAAGCGGAGAAGAAATATTAACAACAAGTTTATTTATTTATCTATTTTTAGATGTCTAAAGGTCTGGGATAGCCTCACCTTGGACTGGAACCACTTCTCGACCTCCAGCTTGTTGTCTTTCATTACGGTTTCATAGCGCTCCCTCATCTCCTGCAAGACCCTCATCAGGTCAGAGGACCCTGTGTTGTCCACCTCCACGTTAACTTTCCCAGAGCCCTGGAGTTTCAGCTTCTCCATCTCCTGCAGCAGGCCACACATGAATTGTTTTATTCCACCTTCCCCTCCTCATTTTCTAGAGACTATTGTGTTTTATTTTCAGAAAATCCTACCTCCTTGTGGCTGTTGGCCATGCAGATTAACTCCTCCTTCAGCCCCTCCACACTCATCTCCAGGTTGCTGATGCTGAGAGTCAGGCTGTCCCGGATCCCTCGGAGACGAAACACATCAGCCTCCACTGTCTTCTGCAAGTTAACCTCCATCTCATACCTACACGTCACATTTATTCATTCATTACAGTATATCATCATTATGTTGAAGTGCAATCAAAGAATAATAAAATCCTATTTTAAGACCTCCTGATCGTCTAAAAAATAAACACTTCTGGTATCTGATTGTTAAGCTTTAGGGGCCTAAAGGTATTTAAGAGCTAACTTACTTCATTTTAAAGTCCTCTGATGCAAATCGGGAGTTGTCAATATGCAGACGCAATCCATGGTTCTCTGAAATTGTTCTTGCGATCTGAAAGGAAGGAAACATGACATTTATCTTCCACCATCTATACAGGATTGATCTGTATCGTCTTTTAGAGCTGTAAAATGACTCAGTAGGAAGTGATTAGTTAGCGAGGTCACTGACCTGCAGAAAATCTACTTACTGTTGAGAGTTTAGGACTAGTTCCCCACATAACGCTCCACAGTGATTCAAATCAACCTTAGAGATTTTTTATTTATCAAAACAGTGAATCTTTACCAAACGTCTGATGTTGACATTCTTCTTCTTCTTTTTTTCTTTTTTTTTTTAACAAAGGGTATCAAGTCAGCTATGCTGCTTTTAGTATTTTCCTGGGTTGTGTAGCTATTAGCACCACTATAGATAAAGATTTTAAAAAATATTAAGAAAAGCAGGAAACCTATAATATATGGGGTAGTCAGACATAAACAGGTTGTTTAAAAGTAAAACTTTTATTTCTGAAAATACATTCCCGTGTCCCTCAAAATGATTTGTAAAACCCTATCTCCTCTTGTTCCAGTGTTTCCTTAGAAAGATACAGTATATTATTATTACAGTATGAGCTTTTTTCTTCTACTCCATTACAATCATCTGTTGAGCAACAGACCGATTTAATCAAAAAATAAATGATTGTTTGTTTTTGTTTGAGCACATATAGTGTGTTATTGACATACTGAGCTATTTTTCTTCACTATTTTTTAGTACTTCGAAATTAATTAAATATTTATGGAGCTTAAATGAAATCAAGAAGCATTCCTTTCTATCTTTGCAGGACTACCCCTCTTTTTTCTCATTCATCTATGATTGTGATGCAAAATGTGAGGGATACCTCTGCTTTCAGGTCAGTAATGGTGGAAAAGTAGGACTTGTAGTCTTTGGTTATATATGTGTTCTTCACACAGAACTCCTCGATGTTTAGCTGCAGCCTCCTGTTCCTCTCCTCCAAAGAGCGAACCTACAGAAACACACATGAAGCGGGTTCAGTCAGTTTATTGAGATGCTTCGGTTAAAGAAACCCAGAGTCTTATCTTAAATTCTTAAATATTAATTCTTTGAAAATATTTAATCTTGTTTAGGCTGATCTATATTGACATACAATATGTTAGAGATGAAAGACAAGCTATATGGAAAACAAACAAGGAGACACGTTCAGCTATATTCTGTTCATCACTGATTTTGTTACGTGTGAGTAAAAATATGGAGTTCCTGAATCTTTCTGAGGGAAAACATAGGTGAAAACACATTTTGAATAAAAATTAACTTTGTTTGGAAATTAAATTTCAGTAGCCTGTAGATTAAAACTAAAGAGTCTATTACAGATAACTAAAACAGCATCTTTTCTCAGTGGTCTCTATGTTTTCTACAAACTTCAAAAACTTCTGAATCTTATAAAAAAGTAGCAGTTTTTTTTTTTTTTTATATAAACTTAAAACTATTGGACTGTCCGGGAACAAATATAATCTGAATATAATGATGGTTCTTCCAGATTTTATTGTTGCTGGAAGTTATATTTTTCCTTTAAAATACATTTTTAAAATACATTTTTTCTGTTTAGTTGTTTAACAGGTAACAAAGAAATCTTTGCATGTTTTTTTATTAAAATATATAAACCATGAAATAACACGAATAATTTCTTATTCTACTGATCAAATCCTGATGAGTAGAGATTGTAGCACTTGGTTTAATTTTCTTTGCAGGTTTAAAATAATTATTCCATGACACGGGAACCAGTAGAACCCCATAAATCCCATAAATCCAATTTTCACCGCAAATTATAAAATAATGAAATTTATGAGTGAGAATAAGAGGTCGTTTTGTTGATAGTCCCCACAGTTGGGCAGAGATTTTACTGGGCGGAGCCCAGATGAGATTTATGGGAATAAAATATTTAATAATAATAATAATAATAATAATAATAATAATAATAATAATAATAATAATAATAATAATAATAATAATAATAATGAACAAATATTCATCAACTAGTTAATTGGAAACAAATAATGATTTGTTTCATGGTGCACATGGTTGCATCAGTTCTGTGTGAATGGGCACTAAAATATCAGATTAAGTAATCCCGTTTTAAACCAGCAGATGGCGCCAAACAGACGCTTTCCGACACAAAAGCAGGATTTTAATGAAAAATGCAGAAGATTGTCAAAATGATGTCCGGGACTTAGAGATGGCAACATTAGATATTTATATAAAAAGTTAATATATAAAAAAAAAAAAAAAAAAAAAAAAAAAAAAAAAAAAGAAGAAGAAGCAGGAATGGGTGACCTTTTTATGTGAAAATTAAATCAAAAGAAATGTAAGTTTCTTTTAATCGATTTTGACCACTCATGTATTTTTATGGAGTTTTTTTTTAATCAAACAGCAAAATGGAATATAGTAATTTTCCATTACTAGTTTCTAATGAGGAAATCTTAGCAATAAAATCTTATACACAGATATTAATAATCCGCAGTAAGTTATTTTAGGAATTTTATTGAAGCTGTTTTTTTTATCTCTCTTTTTTTTTTTTTTAGCTGAATCTTGCATCAATAAGCCTAATATGTTTCGAACACAAAACTGCAGTGAAAAAAGACACACAGAGTTAATTAAAATACAAGCTGTTTTCATTAGGGGAACAAATACATGAGTACAAATTCTACTGTGTGGTATCACTGATGACATCTCTTTTTTGCAACATTTTATTTGGCAAAGAGCTTAGAGGGAACTTACCAGAAGATTATAAAAAAAAAAGAAGAGTTTCTGGTTTGTGATGTTTCTCTATCATATCTTCTCATCTATTGTTGATCACCCAAAAATGATGCGTGCATCAATTTAATATAATTTAATTCGTAGAAAACAAACCAAATATCCTTATGATTGCAGATGAGAGATTCTCTGATCAGGGATGAGGAGCTAGAGATTGTCTTACCTTCTCCAGGTAAGAGGCCAGACGGTCATTGAGGTTCTGCATTGTGATCTTCCCACCGTTGATCCCAGTTAAGTCTGCCCCGGTGCTTAGAGAGCCATTGGAGCTGAAGACAGAGGAGATAGAAGAGGACCCATTGGAGATGCGCGTCCCGTAGCCGCCCGCTCCTCCATACACGCTGGGTGCGCGTTTTTGAAAAGGCCCGCTGGGTGCGCGCTGCTGCATCCATCCTATGGCAGATGAGCTGGAGCTGAAGCTCTGCTGGCTGACAGACACAGACATGATGTTACTGGGCTGCAGGAGGAGGAGATGAAGGCCTGCAACAGGAGACTGCTCTGACACTGCTGTGGACAGCTGGATGCTTTATAAAGGAGAGACAACATCAGGGCCTGCAGCATAACAATCACAGGTATGCCTTGCATGTGGATAACAGATATTTGCAAATAGCTGAATGGGTGTGTGGGGGCCCCTTTTTACCAAACAGGTTAAATGATCTCGTTCTACAGCTTGAAACTGACAATTAGACTGATAAGATACTAGAGCATGAGACTTGCCTCTATGGCTTTAAACACTGCTGAGGTTGAAATGCTGTAATTACTGAAATATCTTTGAAGACAGGATCTTAAAAGGAGGGCAGATATCCCAAGAAAAAAGCATGAATAAATAACTTAAATGGATTAAATAACAACTATAATTTTAGACAATCCAATAAAATTAAGAAGGAAACATATGCAAACATTATAGAAATTATGTGTAATTTAGTGGTAATGTCTGAAAAGATTATTATTATACCTCTCCCAATAGTCCTGATCACCAATTATTTTCTCGAAACCTATTTATGAGTCCATGCAGTCCATTAAGAGAACAAACTCTTTAATCAAAATTATTTACAAACATGCACATTCATGTGTCTACACAGGTCTTCAATGATACATTTATTACCACATTACCACAACCATTGCAAAAATACTTATACAGCCATCTACAGTCATTAACAGAGCCTATAGATGTTCATCACCATTCTTCCATCTCATATCTTTTTAAGAAAAAACATGTTTGAGCCTTTTCCCAAACAGCTTCAAGCATGGACTGAGGTTGTTCCATTGCCATAGCTTTTATGACATCATTAAGTAACCCTTATAAATGTTTTACTTCTGAGCACAAAAACAAACAAAATTTTTTTCACTGGAATTGTGCCATAAACCAAACCAACATAGTAAATTGTTGGGAAAGTGGGAAGGATCAGTCTGTATATGTTAATCTGTTGTAAATACAGCTTTTCTGTGAAAACGTCAGAGGTTTGTAAGCAAGCAATGGACCAAATAATATAGCAGAAGTAACAAGAAAAAAGTTGTGAAGTGTGTCTAAAGTGGTTTTAGAACAATATCCCAAAATTCATACCTCTCACAGAGACACTGCTTAACTTATCATTCAAAAAATGCATCCACTACAACCAAAAGATGGCTGACCAAAGGCCTGACAAGAAGACCATAGATTTGAGGTGCAGCAAGCGGATCAATGCTGACTCTGGAGGAGCTGCCGAGATCCGCAGGTTCAGTGGGGAATCTGTTCATAGGACATTTATCCACTGATCTCTGTTTATTCTCAGGATATCCGATTGGTCAAAAACCTGAAGCCACTTGCCACCATCTTGATACTTCCTACTCTCACAGAGTCACGGCATAAACATGCCAACGTGTGTAGAATTTGGTTGCAACAACAAGCAGTTTTCTGGCTCTGAGAAGATGTTTCATAGGTAATTTTACAATCAGTGGATGATGTACTAAAAATATTATATTAAAATAACAAAAAAGCAACTATATATATACATATATATGTATGTATGTATGTATGTATGTATGTATATATATATATATATATATATATATATATATATATATTTGAATAGAATGTTATATTACAGGATTTATAGACTTTATACTTAATATGCAATATGATGTACCCATTTTTTACCATGACTGACTGTAATCTACTAATGCTATGAAATAGCAAGTGTGTGTCAAGGTGATGAATTGATCTTTATTGTAAAAGTCCCTCTGAAAGTCCTTTTGAAATTGAGGAAATCATTATTGTTCGATTCTATAGCTCACATATTGTTTACATTCTGACTGGTGGTAACTAGGCAGTATCAATATGGTGACTGGTGACCTCATGGCATTGTGTAATACCAACGGCCTATCAGATATCCAGAGAATAAATAGAGATCAGTGCACTTATCCCCATGCACTCTTTGGTTTTTATGCAAACAGCAAGAATAAAGTCATGTAGGAAAAACAGCAAATGAATGAAAAAAGTGCTGTGATCAGATAAAACCAAACCTAAACCTTTCTTCACGTGCAGTATGTTACTGTATGTGAAGATGCAAACAAAGACTATATATAATGAGAAACATTAATATGCAGTCAGATCCGGGTGTTAAGGTTCAGTTAAAAAAAAATGGCCTAATAAAAGTGGGTCAACAACAACAGCAGAAAAAGGTTCAGAGAGCTATTTTAATTAAAAGGAATGGGTAAAAATAGTTTGCAACCGACTTGCGACCTGTCCAGGGTGCTGGACCCACCCTGGTGGAATAAGTAGGAGATGGATGGATGGATGGATGGATGGATGGATGGATGGATGGATGGATGGATGGATGGATGGATGGATGGATGGATGGATGGAAACAATTGTAATCACATTTTCTGAATAATTTAAAAGCAAACAAGTTGTCAAAAGTGTTTCACAAACAAAAAAAGCACAGAAGAGTAAAGAGTTCTATTACAGACAGTGTCTGATACGTCCATTTAACAGACGGTTGACATCGGTCCAAGGCAGAGGAATAAAGATGAGTTTTAAACAGACATTCAAATGACCATATTATCTGAGCTGTGCTGACATATAGAGGAAAGGTGTGTAAATGTTTGATGTCCTCTATGTATAGACTTTGTTAGAAATTTTAGTCCACCAAATTTTAGATGTACCCCAAAAAACCTGCATCTGCAACTGCAACAAAAGGGGGTTCTACAAATTATTGACCAAGACGTCAAATTTAATAACAATGTACATAACACTGTTGATGTTTCATTAGCTAAAAAAAAAAAGATCTTTCATTGTCCTTCTACATCACAGTTTTACAGGGACAGTTTTGTTTGTTGTAATCTCAAATAAATGTGTTAGAACTATAGTTGTTATGTTAAAAATAAAATTTTATGATTTCTCCTTATATTCCCACTGACTTCTTGGAAAATCTGTCAGTTGTCGTTAAAACTTGAAAGTGCAGACCTGAGGGGACAGAAGGACACTTTCATAGCAGCTGCAACTTTCTCTCAGTGGGAAAACTCAAGAGATGTAGCCCTAACTGGCAACGGTTCTGGGAAGTCTCTGTTTTTATTGCAACGTTTTGGTATTTTTATTTTCTAAGTACAAACAAAAGCTACACTCTGCACTGTTCAGTAAATAATGGGTTGCGACCATAAAGAAATTAGAAACTAGTTGGAAAATAAAAACATTTAAATGTGAGACTAATTATCCTAAATGACTTCTTCATTATGGAGAAATGCAGCCTACCAGGAGCGTCCTGACAGACAAGCTGTTGGTAAAGAAAACCTGAAACTCAACAGAATCTCCACAAAGAGCCTCGACACAGAGCCAAGCATGGCACGTACCTTTAATTCAAGTATGTTTCGAAAACATAGGTGTAAAACAAAAATAATATCTGGATAATAAACTGGTTATTACACACTATTCTCACCCTAACAGCCTAATGTAATGTTATGGTGTAAGAAGTATATAATGATAAAATCCTACCTCAGAATAAAACCAACTGTTTTTAGGATGTTTTTGCTGGTCTCAATGAATCAGTGAATAAATAGTGGGTTAATTTCTAGAAAAGAATGATACTATTATAACAAGAGCAATCCCCCATGTTTACCCTGAAGATTTAGGTATCAGTTTTTATTTTAATTGTTATAGGTGGCATCAATGTCAATAGATTTTAGGGAATCCATTATATTCTGAATGGGCTGAACTGGATAGTACGCACAATGTGAAATTAAACTGCCACCTTGCACTAAGGAAACAACCTCCAGGACCTTTAAAGCTCTCCCTAACTGGATTTATTCCTAAACATTTCATAACTTATTTTATTTATCAATTTTCACATTAAAGGAGGCGTTGGATTGGTGCTAATGAACAGCAGCTGTGGGAGAGCTGAAGCTAAGACTGAGATGAGGGAAATAATAACAGCTGACAACTAAAGACAAAATAACATTTAATCACAAAATAACACATTCAATGTTCATATCAACCAAAAATTTTAAATCCTTATTATCAGGGTATGATTTCACTATAATTCATTTATGTGGGAAGTCAGATTCCTCCCAAAATAAGGCCAGTCGGATATTTTTACTACAGTCTTTTGTTCTTGGTGAAGACTGAAAGGAGAAGGGTGGATGGACACATGATGAAACACCTACTCATCCCAACTGTTTGTTGTATCGAGGTCACCAACCTGCTTACCACAAGACATTACCTTGGTTTAAACAATTCCAAGAGGAATCTGTCTGTTTTTATCTGTCCAAACAATCTAAAAGCAACAGAGACAATTATCTGCTGCCTTCTACAGATTAAGAGGGTGTGTGTGCATGTCTGAATGTGGGAGTCTGATCTGGGAAACTAGTCGTGTCAGAAAGCTGTCTCTGTCTGTGGCCCTTTATCAGATAAGACTCATGCGTGCAATGTAGGACAAATATTGGTGATTACTACCAAAAACCAGAATTAAGAAATAAAAAGTTGATGTCTTAATCTACTTTCTGTAGATAAAGGTTGGGTTGATCTTAGTTTCATTTTATACAGAACTTTAAAGAATCTAGAATCTTTATTTAGACAAGATCATTTTAAAAGGGACATTTGGGAATGAGAGGAACAAGATGTTAGAAAGGCGTCTGACTGCTCAGACCTGTTAGTGATGGCAGGATGTTAAAAGGGCAGCAGCAACAGTAAACAGTGGGGCGTGGGCAGGTCGGGTGGACCCGAAACAGCATAACAAAAACCTGCAGTATGAGAAAATCCTTCGGGAAAGTTCACAAAGGTCAGAACCACCACAATCTGTGAGAAAAATAAGTTTTAATAACTTTTGGGAGGAGGGATGTTGATGCATGGATAATTATTTTAGTACAAATGTGAGACGGGTCACTCAGTGAAGGGCAGGTGACAGGACACAACTCTGCTGATGTTTCACTCTTTCTAAATCCAGTGATCCTGCTACTTTATGAGAATATAAATCACATCGAACCAAACAGGGGCTCAACCTCTTCAGAAAGAAAAATCTATACCCAATAAACACAGGATTAATGCCTTTAACGCCTGAGATGAAGTCACTAGAAAGGAGGGGAAGCACAGAGAGCAGCAGCTCTCCTGCAGCCGATCGTTTTAGAGAGTTTTCTTTACCCTACAGCTGCTGTCATAAAGATAAAGACGACGTGGGGGCAATTGTCGCCCTTTTTACCCTCAAACAAAAGCAGCTGCTTTAAAGTCACAGACGTTCAAAGCAACAGAGTGTTTGGGTCAATTACCCTTCGCTAATTTCTAACCATTAACATTTTGATCAGTTATAGCGATAAGTTAAACTATTTAACAAATAGTACAATACTTTGTATATAAATTTCTTTGCATTGACTCCATAGATGATCCCTGTTTGAACCAGTTGCTCCCAATGGAATATATTAGGACACCTGAAGACAATTACGTACACATTTCCTTCCCTTTGAATTTTTTTCAGAAATAGATAGAAATCATCCCTCTACAGATGAGTCCATTTAAACCAGGTGCAAACAACCAAAACTTTTGGGTGTTATAAAACGTCAAATTATTCATAGTAGAGTTTGATTTAAAGTAAATTTCTATAATCCAAAATCTTTGTTTCTCAATAGAAATAAGCCAAAGGAAACTAAGAATAAGTACCAAAAGGAAGAAAGTAAATATATATGTATATTGAACAAATTTTAACTCTCATGTCAATTTCTATACTTTATAGGCATTATAGCATATCCCATTCTTATAAATGCTTTTCGAAAAGGTATTTTGAGGGTTTGTCTTTGGGGATTCACTTTTAAAGTCTTGAATGGCCTTGCCCCATTTTATCTCTCTGAGCTGCTGCACCCCTACACCCCCAGCCGATCTCTCAGGTCAGCTGACCAGCTGCTCCTGACAGTGCCGAAAGCAAGGCTTAAGCTCAGATGGGATCGAGTGTTTTCCGTTCCAAAACTTTGGAGCTGAATATTAGAAAGGCCACCTCTGTTTCATTTTAAAACTCTTCTTAAAACCCACCTCTTTTCTTTGGCGTTTGACACCATGTAGAGCGTTGATTTTATGTATTTACATGCATATTTTTATCCTGTGCGGGCAGTGCTTTCATTTTATTTAGTTTTATTTTATTTATTTGATCTTTTTGTGCAGCACTTTGGAAACCTTGTGTTTATTGAAACCGTGCTATATAAATAAAGTGGATTGGATTGGATGAGCTCCACATCATCTGGGTTGGAAGGCCTCCTTGCCATCATTCTAATCTGTAGCTCCTTCCACTGATTCTCCATCAGATTCATATATATTCTTGTTGAGTCACTCTGAAATGTTATTAGTTTCAGTGAAAAGAAACATGAAAGTCAAATTTAGAGTAATTTATTGGGTTGAAATTAGTATGGACCCAAATGGCCAAAAAAAAATACAAGAATTTCTACCTTATAAAAAGAAAAATAACTAAAACCTTATGAATTGCTGTAGTGAGCATTATCTGATTTCATAAATATTCTCATATGAAATAGTGTAAAAAGTTTGCCTTGCAATTTTCTGTTTCACTGCTTTGGTTTATGTTTGTTTGTGTTTGAATCTCCTTTAAAGCTGAATCCATAGTTACACTAGAGGCTTTGTTTTGATTCCAAGCAGCTCTAAAACCTTATTGAGTTTCTTCTTTAAACACATTGACTTTACTTTTATTGCAGCAGGAAAAGGTCTTTCCATTGAGGTGAAAAGCATTATAACAGGTTTTAGACGTGTCGTTTCCTTTACGCACTTCCTTCCCAAGTATCCGCCAATCCATCAAATGTTCTCCGCTGAAAGTTATCAATCTTTGATTTTAGGCAGTGCTGCTTTCATTCCCCCTTTGCTATAAAAGGGTTGACCCACCTGGCAGATCTGCAGAAGCACCTCTCTTCTTCAGGGTGAACATCACATCTAATCCTCACAGGTATGTTTTATCTTTTTATATATACATGGTTTTTTTTGTTGTTTTTTTTTATGCATTTCTAAAAGGAAGGTTTCTATTCTTTTCTGTACTGGCTCCAGATATGGCTGGGAAAATAGTTTTGGTCTTTGCACTGTTGGTGGCCCTGCTGGTTTCCGACTGTGCATCCTCCCCTGAAAGCTCTGCAGCCGTGGAGACAAAGGAAAGAAACGTCCTCCAGCAGCTTCTGGCCAAGAGGGAGAAAGTGCGGGAGTCGGCTCGGGCGGAGAGACGGGCACACCTGTCTGAGGACGAGCGGGAGATAATGACCAAACAGATCATGCAAGCCATCTCAGGTATGCAGTTCAAGTGCTGATGTTCCCGCTGATTATCAGATCAGGTGGGTGAACGTGCAGAAAGTGATCCATTCTGTCTGTGGTTCAATGTAGGAATGGTTTGTTCACAGAGGTGATGAATTCTGACTGCATGTCGGATCGGGACTACCAGGGCTGGGTGGACTTCGGACGCAGGGAAGCAGCAGAGTGAGAGAGGCCAACCTGCTCGGCTTGCTTTTTTTTTGTTCAGACTGTACAGAAAAGTTGAAGTTTAACCACTGAAAATGTTTGAATAAACTACTTTGCAGAATGAACACAGCATTCTGGACTGATTACTGTTTACTAAGAGTGCTGAAATACATTTGGGGACAAGTTTGATGGTGATGCATATTTTATTCTCGGTTGGTAAAAGGAACACTTCCACATAGTTGGCAGACTACAGTGAAGAGCAGAGGAGAGAAACAGGAATCAGCGAGTTTAGGTCAAAAACTAGACATTCAGCTTTTAAGATTTATTCCCTTTTAAATCCACAGTATTCTATGAAGCTAGATTTGATTGTTCTGTATGCAACACATTGTTCAAACATTAAAAGATTGGAAAATAACTCGTAATGCCCAGAAATACATGATCAGATACGGATCCCAGCATTTAGACAGATTCCTTGAATGGTGAAACAGAAAAGTTGACAACCATATGTTGAAGCTGAAAGTCTGTCCAGTTCTTTCTGATGTATATAGATTTACCAAATAATTAGAGATGAGGAGGTCTGCATGGCGTGAGAGCCGGAGAGAGATGGATGAAGGAAACCACAACAGCACGTTTTTAATCAGAGCTTTGTTTCCTCACTGCAGGAGTTCAGAAATACACGAAAACCAGAGCTTTTGGTTTTTTAAGTATCACAGCCTCAGTTTATACTGCATGTTGACTTTTTTTTAACTTAAATATCAAAGAGGAATACTACTATTTACACTTTTTAAACTAAAAAAAAATACACAAGTGATTACATTAATAAAACAAGCGATGCAGAAAATAGTAAAAGGACATTCACAAACACATAAAAAGATTCTGTTAGTGGTGTAGTGTGTGTGTGATAACAAGCTGAAGTAATCAGCTCCTGAGATGAAGACTGGTTGAATGAACATACTGTAAGTCCATCCTTCTAAAGAGATAACATCTCCAGCGTGGCTTCAACACATTCTGTGGCGTTCTCTTTTTCAAGACACGGGTGCTGTGGTGGGTCATGGATTGCACATTTTGGAATCTCATGGCTTAATGCAAAGTCACGATGGTGAAGAAGAGGAGTTGGGGGAGCATGTGAAGGTTTTGTGTTGTCTCTCATGCCCACCCCGGCCCATCATTCCCCAGGCTGCCACTCTGTGCAGCCCGAGGCTCTGAAGCTTCTCCACTAAGTTCAGACTAAAGACGCCCCTCCCTTGGTTTCTGTCTGAGGACAATCCAGATCCTCCTCCCTGTTTCACATCAGAGGACAGAGGATGCGCCACAGTCTGGGCATAGTGCAGGTTGCTGTAGGGGTCAGTGGAGGCAGAGATGCCGTGCTGCTGCAGCAGCTGCAGGAGTCCCAAGGAGAAGGTGCTTCCGGGGGTGGAGTTGAGGCTTCTGCGGTGAAAGTGCTTGAGTTGGGAGGATGACGAGGCGTTCACGTGCTCACCGTCCCGATGAGGTGGCAGGCTGAAAGAGCGAAGGCTGCATACCAAAATATAAAAACACGGTTCATATTAATAAAAGCAAATATTTGATCAGCTTTAGATACATGCAACCATCTACAAACAGTGCTTTCCATCCAAAATGTTTGCTGCTATTTAAGCTGTCTAAGCAGTCCTAATAAAAAAGAAAGTCTGAAGAAACATTCATTGATATGATTTTTCAAAATGCAAAAAAACAAAGTGTGGCTCCTTCAAAGGAAAACATGAACTGAGAGATGAAACCTTTGTGTGTAAAACAAGCTTTGGTTAGTTGGGTGGATTATCTCTTAAGGTGGAGAAGCATATCAGTTAGTTCACAGCAATAAGACAGCATCTGATTGTTTAATGGAGACCTTAAAAAGAGGCAGAGATTTTACTTAAAATGACAGTAGAAAGTCCAACCAACTTAGAGAGGGTTTTAAATGTAATATAACGTTAGTACAAGCTGTTGTATACAGAGACAGAGAACATGGGTTCATTTATGTTATAAGAGTCACTAGAGTTTAAGTTTTTTTTTATGTTTAAATGTTGTCCACAGTTCAGCTGAAAATGGGGAGCTGAATCTCTGTGATCATAAAAACCCAACTTGTGGTAACATAATGATTGAAAAGTGAGTTACAACACTAAACTTTGTTAAATAATATAGCATAAAAACTCAAATGAGTGACACAGTGTTATTTTTTTTTATCATGAAAGCCTGACTGCTTACAAACATTTTAGCATAGCAGGATGTTAGAATAATAGTTGCACAAAGTACTACACTGCAAAGACTATCACAAAGTAAGTACAAATTTCTTAAAATAAGTGAATTTACCCTTAATTTAAGCAGGTAAATAAGACAATCGGCCAATGGAATGAGTATTGTTAACCTTTAAATAGGATAATTAGATACTATGCACTTGAAACAAGACAATGCAGTTTTTTTCTGCTGTTTTATTTTAAATATAAATTGTCTTATTCCATTTGCAAAGTGACTTACTTATATTTCATTTTTTTTTATCTTATCTTTTGAAGCAGGGGTCGTGAGGTTTGCTGGTGCCTATCTCCAGCTGTCTGCAGGAACCTTCTTGCCTTGCAGGAAGAAGGTTCCAGGTTTGATTCCCGGCCCGGGGTCTTTCTGCATGGAGTCTGCATGTTCTCCCTGAGCATGAGTGGGTTATCTCAGGGTACTCCGGTTTAATTCCACAGTCCAAAAACATGACTGTTGCGTTAATTGACTTCTCTACATTCTCCTTAGGTGTGAGTGTGTGTGTGAATGGTTGTTTGTCCCATTTGTCTCTGTGTTGCCCTGCGATGGACTGGCGACCTATCCAGGGTGTACCCCGACTCACGCCTGTAGACAGCTGGAGATAGGCTCCAGCAAACCTCCCGACCTTGGGATTAGTGTGACAGAAAATGGATGGACATTTCAGTATTTGCAGTGTATTAAAAAAGTGATCAGAGCTGCGAAAAATAAATCTAAATGTAGACAAAGTCAGGAAATTCAGAACTTCTGTTCTTCTGTATAGAAAAAGTAGCTATTAGAGACTGCAGCTGTTTGTAAAACTATGTCTGCTTTCTAGAAGGAAACCCCTCCCCTCCAAATAGTGATTATTCTTTTTATTTATTCAGCAATACACAACCCATATAATTTTAAGGTACTTTACTGAGACGATTCAATCAAATACTACAGAATAAAAAAGTTTTCTATCTAAAGAAATCCAGCTAATCTTGAAATACGTCTTGGATTATTTCCCAATAAAGTATTAGGATGAAAGTCAGAGATAGCGACCCAAAAGAACAGAACCCAACCTAAAGTGGTTTTGGAAAAAAAGGTCCAGCTGTCTGGACTGTCACCACGTTCAGATGTTGTTTAAGGAATTATGGAGGTCTGATGAGTAACTCCCAATATTATTGTTAAAAAAAATCGTTCGACATTCCAGCAAGTTTTTTTAACGATTAACTTTATTCATGGCGCTAAATTTAATCTTGTGTCCTTAAGAGTATAAAATTTTGCTAGCTGGTTTTTCCAGCAGTTGAGATGTACCGGTAGATATCAGAAACGTAACAGTTTTCCTGCAGCAGTAACATTTTATTAAACTATAACACAGATAAATAAAACATGCTACTTTGTCTCTGTTATTAATAATTGAAATGCCGAGCCAACATTGAAGAGAATTAGTTGTTTTGCAGGTGTCCATTAAATCATGCTCTTACTTTTCCTGAAGGCTGCCTCTAAAGTTTCAGAATGACCCTCGATAGACGCTTTCTACCAGGGAAGGCGCAAAGGGGGAAAAGTCAAGAGGGGGAAAGCAGCAGGAAAAAAGACAGACACCAGGGGAAAAGTTTGATTGAAGGAAAGGGTTGATCAGCTGCTTTTCATTTTATAAACTGAGATTAACTCAGATGAGCTCAAAGTTGTGAAAATCAACAGGCAGCAGCGGTGGAATTGAGATTTCTACAGAGTTCTTACCGATTGGAGAAGGAGGGGATGAGAGGGGAGGGTTGGAGGACTTTGCAGGTGGGATGTGTGGGGAAGGTCTGAGGGAGGTTGGGACCCGATGAGGAGGCTGTCAGTTTATGGGAGGAGACACACATATTAAACCTCATGTAGAGGAAAATCCTTACATCTTAATAGGCTTTTAAAGGAGGACTGATTCAGAAGATACTAGACCTTGAAAACATTTAAAAGGGAATACAGAAATATTAATTTCAAACAGCGTCACTCTTACCCAAACCATGAGCTGCAGAAAGCTGCGACAGGTCAGGCTCATCCTCCTCCAGGTCGTTCAGGCTGTAGACGTGCTGAGTGTCCACCTCTAGTTCCTTGAAGTCTTTGGTCAGGACTCCAGGGCGAGGGTGGAGGATGCCCCCCAGGTTTGGCTTAGCCAGCTGCTGCCAGTGGTGCAGAGTCACAGAGCCTGACAGGAAAACACACAGGATAAAAAACCCTGATTCTTCTCACACAGAAACACAACAAATATCTCTGCTGAACATGATTTTTTTCTAGTTAACAATATTACCGTGGGCTGCAATATGCAGCAGGGAGCTTTCAACTTAACACCTGTGCTGTTTATTTCTAAGACTTTTATTTTAAAGTGATGCAGGTAGTAGTTCTTTAGTTGTGTTGCCTACTCGCCTGAATATATAAACAAACTTTTAAATTGATCATCTGTCAGCATTTTATGTAGCTAAACAGAAACATTGACAGATTGAGAGAAAACACACAAATGATTTGTAAACACTGTAAAACACTGAGACTGCCTAACCATTAGCTGCTAAAAGTGCTAAAGTTGACGTGTAATTGGTAACTTCAATATTTTCTCTGTAGAAAATCTAGTTTTTCCACCTCAGAATAAAATAGCATAAAGCCTGCAATGTGAGATTAATTTATAGTTGATCTAAAAAGAAATTCTGTTCCTTTAAAACAAAGGATTTGATTTCTAAAATGTTATTTTTTTACTCCTGTTTAGGAGATCTTTTGTTTCCTAAAAATGTGACCATCCATTGCATACTCAGCTGGATGCTGAGTATGCAATGGATGCCTTGATAAACCCCCTCATAACCAGAGTTTTTTGTGATCAACACACTCTTGCATTTATGAAAAGTTTATAATATGATCACATTTTTAATGAGTTGAATCTGGAAATTCACATAAAACTCAGAATTATAAAAATAAATTCCTTAATAGTTATTGTTATTAAAACATTTAAAAAGGTGCTGAATACTAAATCATTAACCATATTTGATTACTAAAAAACTAACCCCTATCTCAGTTGAAGTCAAACAAATTTTTAAGAAGGCAACACTGCTAGAAAAATAAAACAAAAGCAAAAGTGCTCCGTCAAACTGCTTATCCAAAAACAGAATAAAAAATAAATTTTTGCCCATCTAAGAAATGTAAAGTCATAAGGACAAATAAACCTACATAAGTTATTTTTTTAAAACCCAACACTTTAAGTTGTTTGGTCATTTTCAGTGATGTACGTGTTGAATAAAAACTGTGGGGTGCATCCAGTACTTGTACCAAACGAGAGAATTGACATTCATTTTTGCACATACAGTTTTGTTTCAAAGACCACTTTAGAGTTCTTTCTTTTCTTTTCAATGACAACAGTAAAATAGTTCGAATTCTCAGACAAAAATGTGTCTTTAAACATTTAAAAAATGGGGCCCATGAGCTCACAAAAGGGTAACACATCAACACCTAGATTTTTTTAAAATAATGTGTTCGTAACGTAGATTTGGATGGTGAAGAAAAATCATATATGAGTTAATTTGATTGAGTTGATTTTTAAACCCTCCATTTAGTCATCTATGGATTCAGAGATAAAATGATTTTCCAATCATTTCTATTTTGTTTTAATTGGTGTGCTTTTAATCATGCTTGAAACTTAGACCTCCTTTTACCTTCTAGAGGCTTAACGATCTGCAGGCGGTCTGGCAGGTAGGACCTGGATCCACCCGAGGAGCCGCAGGAGTGCCGTGAGCTTCCGTTTGAGTAGTTGGTGCTTGTTGATGCAGCTGAGCTAGACGGCAGGCTGTCATTAGGTGTCAGAAAGCCACTGGAGCCGTCGCCCTCCTCACAGTTTGCCGCCAGGGCGCGGAGTTTCCGTTCTCTCTCCACGTCAAAGAAGGGCCGGTCAGAGGAGTGGCTCTGCTGCCGAGCAGAGAGGTTGCGTAGAGCAGCTTCCAGGTCCTGACCTCCTGGTGTGCCTGGCTGACCCAGCCGTTTCGGCCCACTGACACTGTGGAAAGAAAGGAAAAAAAATGGTGATTGGCATTGACCAATTAAAAGTGAAGATCAGCTCCTTTATTACGCTTTGGAAGCTCACCTGTTATCCTCTTTTTGAGCCGAACTGGAGCTCGGCTTGTCCTCCAGAATGAAGCTGGCATTGTCAGAGCCGTAGTAGCTGGTTCGAGGGGTGCTGGTGCAACTGGAGGGTGCGGACACAGGGCTGGATCCTGGCAGCCCTGGTGAGAGACACTGGGACCGCATTCTCACCGCTTTGTTTACCACCTTCACTGTTTCAAACACACGCCATGGATGGTTCCTGCCAGGAGAGGACCGTAATGTCAGAAAAAAAGCTGCAAACCTCTGATAGTGGAACACTGAAACCTGGAAAACATTCCAGAAATTTATGAAAATAATCTGAATAATACAAGCTTATTATTTTTAACATGGATTAAAAAGCACAACTGTCTATTTTAAAGGTTGTTCAGTTCTATTCTATTTTTCTATATTTGCTTTCAGATATACATATTTTCTCTGAGAGTGTTTTGATGGTCTAAGTGGGATGGCTAAATTTGTCACCCATTATTCTTTCTAAAGCATTTCAAGGTCACTCAGTTACAGTAGTGAGTTTCATATACTGCCTCATATTCTTCATTAGATTTAGTTCTGGACTTGGACTGGACCATTTCTTACACACAGATATGCTTTAAAGGAGAACACCGGTTTTCTTACATTGGCCCCTTGATTTTACGTTATTACATCATGTTCTACTCACCCATATGAGTTTTGTGTCATTTGGAGCTGTTCTGAAGATATTCGGTTTTGTTATATACAAGTAACGTCTTCCTATGGGCAACGAGTTGAAGGCACAAACAAACTGCTTATAATTTATTCTTTATGCTACGCCAGCATTCATGACATGTAGGTGAATCACTGTCCCCCAGACATCCGCGGTTATATTTTTTATATTTATATCTTTTAAAAACAAAGCGGAGTGTGTATGACGTCATTCGCGCGCCGGACTGGAGTTGTGACAGGCAGCCCGGGCTACAGGTGGCTACGCTCTACCCGTTCTATTTGTTAGGCTAGCTAATCTGAATCGTTTAATTTCATTTGGAGAGGGAGATCATCTGTGGTAGTAGCACTAGACATCTTCCAGGAATATCAGTAAAACAGGCAGCAGTTCAGTGGACAGGATGAAGGAATGGTAGCCAGGGTGCGGAAGATGTCATACACCCTCTGCTTTGTTTTAAAAATATAAATATAAAAAATAATAGCGGATGTCAGTTAACTAAGTTCACTATAAAGTCCACTATATAGCCCCCGCTCTATATAGTGACTTAGCGATTTAGGGATTAGGGCGGATGTTCAGGCACAATAAGCTTGTATTAGCTATGAGAACGGCAACCTTTAAACAGAGTCTGCACGAGAAGAAATGGGCTCTGCATGCTCACGCACGCCCATTTCTTTCAAATTGACAGGGTGGGTCTTTTAATTTTATTAAAATATCATCTCAAATTTGGTCCTGTTTTTGTTATGTTAATACAGGGACTTAAGTTCGCTACGGGGAAAGGGAAGGGAAGAGGGAAAGAAGAGGGAATGTGGGGGGAGGAGAAGGAGGGAAGGAAGAGGGAAGGGGGAAAAAAAAAACTGTGTAAAAAAGAAAACAAAAAATCTGAGAAGTCATGTAAGCTTTGTACAATGTATGTAACATCAATATATGTATGATCTACTGATGAGCAAATAAATGTTACACAGTAAAAAAAAACAAAAAAATAAAAATAAAATATCATCTCAAAAAGATTAGTCTCCTTTTGGATTCCTAAAGGGTATACAGATATCAAAGATGGTTATTGTTTGTGAAGACAGACTTACTTGTACTCTGACGGGGTGGGAGAGTCCAGACCTTTCCTAAAGGTGCCCTCTATCTCCGCAGCCAGAGAGTCCATGGGGAGGACGGAGGCCAGGGCGGTGTACCGCTGCACCGTACTGTTAGGCAGACTTTTGTTTCGCAGGTTTTTAATGTCCTTCTGGGCCTCGTGGAGCATGTCCTCACACTCAGAGTACTTGTCCTGCAAGTCCTTGAGCTGCAAAATAAAGAGAAAAAGCGACCCATTAAATAATTAAAATAAGCTTTTAGAAATACATCACAGTAACCATAAAACTGTTGATGGATTAAAACACCAAGATACAAATTTTAACTACATGGAAAACAATTTAAGAAATGATGCTGGAGTCAATTACCTCTGATTTCAGTTTTGACTCGTTTTCTCTGGAGGCACTCAGTTGCTGGTTCAGCGCCTCGTTCTCATGACCAAGCTGAGGAACAGCACAAAGATTTCATAGAGATTACAATAACATAACAAATAGGAAAACAATTATTTAACTAAAAGGAAATTTGAAAACCTGGAACCTTTAGAACTGCCAGCAATATTCATGACATTTCTTTTTCTAAGCAATATTTAAGCCAAACGTCAGCATAACTTTGTATTTTAGCTTCTCACCCCTTTGCAGCGCGCCTGCAGGTCAACAATCTGAGCGAGCAGTGAGCTGATCTCTTCCTGCTGCCGGAGAGTGTCCTCTACCTTTCGAGCCAGCTCCTCAGACAGGTCCACCACCTGTTTATTTGCAGATGCTGAAACACATAGAAGTCATGAACAAAATGGCATAGAAGGCTTAAACCATTTTGCCATAAATTGGAGAAAAACTTACAGAGCTCCTCCACACACACCATCATCAGCTCCTGTTCCTGCTCCTCATAGTTGGTCGTCTCTGATGAGAGCTCATTGGCCTGAGGAGACAGCTTCATGTTAACCGAAACAGCACAATGTTTACATAATGTAGAAGACAAATACTTTTTTTTTTTTAGTTAATTCCATCTCTCTTAAATTGGGTTTTTGAATTTCAGACCATGCGGTTCCTTTTACATACCTCTATTCTCAGTTTGCGGTTCTCCTCCTCCAAACCCTTCAGCTTTTGATGCAGAAAGTCATAATGGACGAAGTTGCTGAGAGAACTGCTGGATTCATTTCTCTTAATTCTGCAGAAAGCAAAAATATTCCCACAATTATCCTTTAAACAAAAAAATCGCTTTACACCCTATCGTAAAAATGTGTTACTTTAAATATACAATAGATAAGATTAAATACATTTTGGACACTAATAAGAGTTAATTTGTTAAAGAAAATGTCTGTTTGGTTTGATGCAAAAAAGCAGTTTTAGGGAAATACAGCTAAATACAACTTTTTCAATGTTTGGTTTATTACTGTTTGACGGGTTCCAATTGGAAACTGACTCAGTCGGCTTCTAAAGACTGTGGCAAATGCTACACTGCTGCTCCTGCTGTTAACTTCATTTTGAATATATCAGATATGAATGCAGAAGAACCAAACAATCAACACAAAAAGAAACATCCTCAAATATCAAAACAGATTCATAGATATCTAACCTAATCATTACTGCAGTTACCAAATCTTACAGGCAAATTCATAGAAGGTCCCTTAGCCTTTGTTTCACTTTCCCAGCACTGTTGACCTTTGCTACCCTGTTCTGATAAACCATCTAAGTTTTGCTTTAAAAGTAAAAGCAAACACCTGATTGTCACAGAGTCTGAGATGTGTTCATCTGCACGGTTTCCTCAAATGAAAGGACAAAATAAACACTTTTACCTACTGTGGTAATTTGGCCCCCTGCAGGTTCGACAGGGTTCTAACACACTAAAGCATTGTGGCCACAATTTATGACTTAAAAAAGCAGATCGGAAGGTGAATCCGGGTTAAGTGCCTTGGGCATTTAGTATGTGGCAGGAGGAGGCTGAAATTAAACTTTCAAGTTGCAGAAGGACTACAGTACGACTATATTGAGCCCCAGCTGCCCTAATAGGCTGCTCTTAGACTGTTAGTGTATGCATGCAAACTTTGTTTGGACCACAGCAGGAATTTATCATAGATTTATTATCTCCAAAAAGTATTTTGAATTAAAAATCACAATATTTTACAGGTTACATTTTTACGTTTACATTTTTACGTTTCTCCACATAAGCAGATTTGAAGAGTAGCTAACATGAAGGCAATTTCTAGAAAGCTAAGCTGGGATCATTAAATAGATCAGAAGTGCTGCTCAGACGTGTTTAGTGATAGGACTTTTTGAAAGACCATTTGCAGTCCTTGACATGTCATCACTTGACACAAAAATGGTTCAGCCTGACCTACCAGGAGAGGGGAAGTTGCTGTCTTCTCTAATTTCAAGGATGAAATTGTAAATTTGAGGTCAGCAATGCCGCAGAGGTAGAGCAGGCCCCTTTATATACAGAAACTATGAGTTCTAAATGTTCCTGGGGTTTTATTTCCCACCTGTGGACCTTAATGGATGTCTTTCCTCCATTCTCTTTCCCTCCCGTTTCCTGTCTGATGACAAATGATACTAGCGCAAAAAATTTTTTAATAATTTAGAAAATGTTGGTGTAAAGGAAGGGCTGGGTTTTTGTATTAACCATGCTGTTTGCTCATTTAGGCCAATTATAAAAAGGTCCAAAAACAATTAAATAGTTCTAGGTCAAAGCAGACTTTGGCACCGTCATTCATCATGTCTTGCTAAATAGACAAATGTTCAGAGAAAATCTACCCGTAAACCGTTGATAAGAAAATACATTTATTTTAAATGAGAAAAATTTTAAATTTCCGATTCTCAGCAATTTACAGATGCCCTGATAAAATTACTTAATTTTTTTTGTCAGAAAACTTCGAATGTTTTTTATTGTTGATCATTTGAAAAAAATAAACATTACATTTAATTTGCTTTTTAAAAGCAAATAATACCTTATGAGGCTGGTGAGTACCTCTGCAGACCTCAAAAGGTATTATTTTCTTGTCAAAAGCAAATAATACTTTTGTGAGTACCTCTGCTGATGCAATGCTTGCTTAATTTCAGGCTAAATATCAGCCTTTGTGTAAAGCAGCAAATGAGGTGATGTGTGTGTTTTTGTGTTTTGAATTACTCACGGGGACAGGCTCTGTGCGTTCTCCGTCTCCTCTGTGCTGGCGTAAAACTGCAGCAGGTCATCTCGCATCGATAGCTCATGGCGAAGTTGAGAGATCTAGAAAAAAATCATATATCATTGATCAATGGAGCTCAGCAGTTTCTGCTCTACACACGTAAATAATGAGGATCACTTACCTCTTCTTTTGCAAACTCCAGCTGTTCGTCCAGGGTTTCATTGCGAGCTGTTAGCTCTTGGTTCTGCTTTAGAAGGGACTGACCAATTCGAGCCGCTAACTCCAGATCCCGCTCTTTCTACGCAGGGATAAATCAATGAAAAATTAATAGTTATGAAGATGTCCCGAACACGTGTGCTTAAACCGTGGAAAAACAGAGCTGAAGGGGGAGGAACATATGTCTAATCCTCTGTAATCCAGCGCATCTGCTGTGTGTTTCCCTCTTACCTCCTCCAGCAGGTGGGTGACCGCCTTGATGTCGTGGTACGTCTTGGTGATTTGGCCCACTCTATCTGAGCACAACACTAAGAAACAAAAATACATTTTAATGAGATGAGGAGGGTGATATCTTTTTAATTGTTGGAGAAGGTAGCAAGTTTTTAAAAAAAACTAAAAATTAATTTATTACACATCATTACTGACTATATGCATTTACTTAGTTGAAGAGTATTTACTTTGTGTCCTTCCATTGAAGTTTTAGGAGCCAGACCAAAACATCCCCATGTGGTTCACCATTAACTGATCCTCTTAGCCTGATCCCTTTTAGCCCAGTTAAGATGCCAATGAAGGCACTGCTCCCCTGAGACACCAAAATAGCTTCGCACAGCAGCCTGCAGAATTAACCTGATGGTGTCTGTATCACCTGGAGACTTAGGGAGGGACAGTACTGATGAGAAAATCTGTTTACATCCTGAACAATGGTTTGTTTTCCTTCACTTAAAAGTCATTAAGGCAGAACAAGAACAAAGGATTAATTCATTAGTCAGTTTGAAGAGATTTAGCATTGACGTGCTCAGAGTTTGGAGCACAGCCATTCATGTCCCCATCATTGTCACTGGTCCTAATAGTGATTGCGTATTACTAAATTAAAACGGTGCTGTATTTCCATAATCCTACTAATATTCCAAGAAAAAAGAAAAAAAAAGCTCATTTGGCAATTTTTAAAATAGACTAAATAATTAAAATGTTTAATATATGATGACTTTTTTGTTGTTTTTGTTTAGTTTTGTTTTTATTTTTTAAACAAAAATCTCTGAAATATCTTTATTTAGTTTAAGGTATTTTTATTTATAAGAACCAAAACTGTTTAATCTGAAGAAAGTTTTTAAAATCAGCTTACAACTGTTTTTATTTATTTATTTATTTTTAAAAAGAATAAACCAGTTATTACAATTTTAAACTTAAGTTTAAACTTAAGTATTGAGCAAAATAAGTAGGTTAATTGAAGATAATAAAATAATTTCCATAAAATGAGGTAGGTGTTTATATTGATGCGTTGTAGAAAAGGTGATTCTTAACTCTAACATGGTTAAAAATATTGCATTTGCTGTATGAGTTATTTTCCTTCTTTTGCTTAGCTGTTTAGCTTCTGACTCCAGAGAAAATATCCGTCTTGAGTTTGTTACATATCTTTCTTGACAGCAAAATAAAAACCTGTAATCCAGATGAAAAACATTTTTGACAAGCTAAAAAAAAAAAATCTGAATTTAAACGTCATTTTTGTATGCTTGTTCAGGGGCATAGGATGCTTTGTGTCCAAGCGTTCTGTTGTTTACAGAGCTGTCTTGATCTTTTCTTTAAATAATAAGCTTTCCCACTGCAGTCCCACTATTAAACCTAATTATATAGAGCAGACTTTTATAATTTCTTTAGATTTTCATGATTATATATATAAAAACAAGTATTAACAATGTATGTAAAATTTTATTTTACTTTTATGAAATTTACTAAGACAAAACTAATTCATGGATTTACATCGAAGTAAAAGACAAAAAAGCTTTAGTGTTTAATCATCACACTAATTAATGCATTTTATTTTTATTTAACCAAATTCTGTCTTCAGTTTAATCAAACTTGCTGTAACTGTTTTCTAAAATGAAGTAAAAAAAATAATAATGGTATATTATTCTTTAAAAACAACTTGAAATAATTTGAATAAATAGCATAAACCCTTTAAATACCAGATTTGGTCATAAAAAATACATTCGTTTAAAACAAACTGAAAATTCTGTATCTGTTAGTGACCCTAATCCTCAGAAAACAAAGCAGAACTTAGGCAATTACGATTATCTACGTAGCATTATAATTATACTTTTACAAATGCCAGTATTTTCCAGCAATTTAACCTGTTTTTCTATAACTCTACAACATTTAAACAGACCTTTATTCTGAAGTGCCTGTTTACAGTTAATTTATTAAAAGATCAAATTCTCAAGATAAATGGCAATTCAGTTTAAAAATATTGAATATATTGCCCAACATTAGGTTTGTTCATCGCTCCTTTAAATGTGTGATCATATGTATTGTCAGATTTCTGCAATAAAGTTATTTTAACTTTAAGAAAAACAAACCTGACTAGCAAAAATGTATTCTTCCATAAACAATATGTTTTAAAAGAAGCAGCCACCTGCTTGAGGGTACACCAACAACAGGCCTAATGTACAATAAAATAAATCCTATTCCTAAATAATGCAGGCTTAAGATCACTCACACAGAAGTCTCTCTGAGCCCTAAACTACTATCTGAGACAGAGTCTATAAATTAACAAAGCTTAATGAGATAACCGTTCCACAAATCCTATTGTTCTCAAAGCAGATTGGAGCATTTCCTTTGCTGAAAAGACAACTCACCAAGGGACACTAAGTAAACTCATCAGCTCTTAACAAGGCCATTTATCTAGCAAATCACAATAGAAAATACTTTAAATAAAATTTTCCTTATTCCAGATTGGTTTACATTTTATAAGCAAAACTTTGCTGAATGTATTTTGTTTAGTTCTGGTTGAATGTATCTAATTAGACTGATGCAGACTGAACATCCATTCAGGCTGATCTGAGTAAAATCCTTGACCTGAACCTGCTGACCAGGCCGCCGCAGAACAGAGATAAATCAACAGGTTTGACATAGTGGATGAAGCTAAACCCAAGCAGGTGGTTTGAACTGTGACTGTGACTTATACTGTTCGAGCAGATAAGTCTCGTTGACTTAGATGTTCTTATGACATCTGTTATGTTGAGTGAATCAGACAGGTGAGGATTAGCTTTGTTGTACAAAGAGCAGCCTTGCTTGAGCAAAATTTATCCTTTTTTCTAGAAATAAAACCTTCGCAGGAAAGTAGTGTAGTGTACATATGTAGTGAATTGCAGCGTAGTGTAAAACTTCAGCTGTAATCTAGAGCATCAAAGGGAGTTTTGTTTTAGAACAATCGAAACCTCCCTTTCATAAAATTAAAACACTTATGATCACCTGAACAAATCATTGCTGGAGATGTTCATCCTGTCCTGCTCTCTGGAGGGGTGCCAGCATATTGCAGTGTTTTTACCCTTCACATGTCCATTCAGACAAAGACTCGCCATATTACAGGAAGAGCCAATTATAACAAGTGCATTAACAATCTTAGAGGCAGTCAATACCAGCTGGTTACAATTTTTAAGAAGATGTTCATTAAGTAGATTCTTATATTCATCCCTTAAAAGTCAAGTGTATCATATTTGATTGTTCTGATTGTTTTGATTTGTTCTTCAAAACCCTCACTTACACAATCAGAGACATGTAGTGAACAGAAAACGTATAAAAGGTTATACAGAAATGCCCATTGTTTTAAAATTGGTGCAAATAAATCATCAAATTTAACTTTTGCAAAATGTTTGTTTTTCTATTTCATTTGTTAGAAGGTTTAATGACAACTTTAATAATATTTAGATTTTTTTTTTGTCAATTACTTCATGGTCCAGGCTTTACAGGTTAGGAGTGTGCTTTTTAAGCCTTTTTAGCTTTTAAAGCTTTTTAAGTAACAATACAATTACACCAAAACTTTTTTCACTGTTGGAATGAAAGCTGCTTAAAATAACATCAATCTTCAGTATTTGTCTTTTTAAACAACAATTACTGAAGCAAAAATAATAAAGACAGGTAGGTTTTTACCTCTTTCTTCAGTCTAGACAGTATTAACTAATTTAAGATTTGGTGTCATAGTTGCTGCAATAGAAAAAAAAAGTGCCAAATTTGCAAATGCCATTTGAGAAGAGAAGCTTTACAACAATGATAATAAGTGATGACGCACACAGTTAAGGCTTTCCCTGTACAGCTGCAGACTGTACACACACACATACAGTATTTATCTCAGTGACCTTCAACAGAATAAATGGAAATGACCTAAAGCTGTATTTCTTTTTTCATGCTAGCAATTTTTTTAAGAGCTAACATACTCAAACCTGGGATCAGCATGTTGTTTTTAGCATTTATATCATAATGCATGAAGGACTCCAAATGACGCCTCTGCAGTCTAAACTATACGCACAATTAACAAATCAAATCTCCATGCTGCAGCTCACCATCTGTAAACAACATAATTTGACACAGTGCTGCTTCTACGTGTTATGCTGCCTTTTATAACCCTGAACGTTAAGAATCTCCTTTCCTGTAATGATATAATCTCTGCACATCACTCTGCATCCTCTGCATACCTCAATAAAAATATTCACTGCCATAGCTCACCTTGTGTTACCTCCTTGCAAAGGCTGTTGTTTGTATTGTTGTTGTTATTATTGCTGTTGTTGCAGATTATATCTTCTTCAACTATTTCCTCCACACAACTGGTCATGCTCTTGTCGTCTTCTTCCCCCTCAGAAGCTGAGGAGCTCCATACCTCCATGGTGACAGCAGAAAAACTGGCCTCTGTTACTTTGTCCATAAGTTAAATCCTCTGTTCATCTAAGTTTACTGTTTGCTGGCTGTGCTGTGATGCGCTGCCTGTCTCTGCTGCATGGTTCTGCTGGCTTCTCTGTGAGTCTGTGTGAGGCTGGCTGTGTGTGAGAGAATCTGGGCTGCTGGGAGTTAATATATAATCCCTGACTGTGCACGCCATCTGTCGTCATGCCTGCCTCCATTCACCTGGCCACGTTGGACTACCGGGTTGGAAAGAAAGAGGGAGATGCTAAGGAGGACGTGAAGGAGTGATCAAGAGCTGAAGCTTAGGAGGAAAAGGAGGATCAATTAATTAATTATTCAAATTAATCATTCTGACTTGAAAACATCCACAGGAAGATCATTGAGATGCGAATAGAGGTGAAGAGATAATTCAGAGGATGACGCAGTTAAAAAGGATGCTGCACAAAGCCCCCCATGATTTGATTGAGATGGTATGCTCCCAGAATCCAAGCAGCTGCTCTTTTCTCCTCTCATACGTAACAGACAGAGAGGAGGCTGAGCATAACTCTGCTGCAGAGAGAGCCACACCCACGGGGTCCTGATGAAGCCTGCAACCTGCACAGAAATTTCAATATCAGGCCAATAATGACCTGCTAATCCCAGTTTACTAAAAAGAACTTTTATAATAAGGTTGATCAAAGTTCTGTAAGCAAAATATAAAAAACACACAGTAAGCACAAATCATGTCTTACTTTGCAGAACACCTAAGAGCCTTCTTAAAGCAATTCATCTTCTGACCCCATTAAGAAAATTGGTAAATAAAACCTAGGTAGTGTGTCAAAATACAAAAAAAGCTAAATATTGAAAGATGCGGAAATTAATTTTACAACAATTTTACAAACTGATATTGAAATAAACCCAGGAAAAGCTACCAGAATGTTTACTAAAGGAGTTCTTCTATTGTTATAAACTATACTGTATGTTCATATTTCATAGTTTTGCATAAAGAATAAAACACAAAAACTTTGTGAATCTTATGGAGTTTGCTGCCTGCGAACATATTTCCCTGTCCAGTCAGCCAAAACAACTGTGAACTAGACATGGGAGTTTCTAACAATCACATATTAACCTCATTAAAAATTCAGTGACCATGAAGTGTATCACCTGAACAGTAACACACACAACTTTCTCCATCACTGGTGGTGTATCTCGTCTTTATTACCAGTAAACATGTTTCTGCTAGATTATACATTCCTGAATAGCTACTTATATCTACAAGCATAAAACGTTTTATTACAGCAAGACTCGAAGAAAAACAGGTTAAAGGAAGGAAGGGACTAAGGACTCTGATCCTAAAATCAAACAAACAAAAGTCACGTGCCTCACTTAAACACCATCTGCTAGTTAAATATTGAAATCTACAGTGCCTTCCAAGTGTCTCACGTTTTTCACGTAACAACCACAAACGTCCAAGTCTATCTTTCTGTATCTGTTTATTTGGGAAGAAGTATGCCTTTAACTCTATATAAGGGCTGCAATTAATGATTATTTTCACAATCAATTATTCTGTCTATTATTCTAGTGAAAGCTTCCTTAAAGAAGATTTTTTATAGAATCAAACCAGGTGAACCTAAACTTTTTGACTTGTGGAGTTCTAAATAGATCATATTAACAGGAGAAAACTTTTTTTTTTATCTTAAATGCTAAATATTTATATATTTTTTCACAATGGGGGTATAGTTACTGCTCTAAGCGATTTGCTCTGTTAGCTAAAGGCATGTCTTACAACTCTATACTCCAGTTAAAGAATAATTCATTATTGAATTAGTTAACAATTATTTTAATTATTGGTTATTCAAATTCATACATTAAAACTACTTTTCATTAAAAACCTCAAAAAATACATTAAAAGTTATGCCACTTAAAGAATACCATGTCATGAACCAATTACAGTGTGTCATATTAGGATCTTATCACATATTAGTTTATAATTGTCATTTTTTTCTTAAAATAAGTGCATTTGGGTGGCGCAGAGGTTAGCGCACACGACCCAGGCTTTAGTCCTCGACCAGGTGACTTGGGTTTGAATCTGGCCTGTGGTCCTTTGCCGCATGTCTCATATCTCTCATACCCCCTTTCCTGTCAGCCTACTGTCCATAAAAACGAGCCGTAAAAAAAAATTAAGTGAATTTGTTCTTGATTTGAGGCGATAAAATAGATATTTTGCCAATGCAAACAGACAATTTAGATCTTAAATAAGAAAACACAATTCCATTGTCTTATTTCAAGTGCATATTATCTAATTATTTTATTTTAAGAGTAGAAAGACTCATTCCATTGGCAAGTTATCTAAATGCACTTAATTTAAGAAATTTTTACTTATTTCTAGATCGTTTTTCCAGTGTATGTGTCCGTGGATCAGGTGACAGCCGCCTCTGACTGAATCTCAACTCTCTTTTCACTGGTCTCCTCATGGTTCCTTGGTGGATGGCTTCATGGCACTAGTTCAGGCTTAGTCTGGCGGGAACCTGCAAGGGGTTAATTGGACCTACAGATACTGTACTCACTGAAACAACCCAAATCTAATCTCAAATCTCACTGGCTTTTGTCTTACCATCACCCAGAACCTGTTTGCATTGGAAAACACCAAAAACATAACCTCTGAGATCATTAAGTTACTGTTCTTGAGTGAGGGTAGAATGAAGTGGGAGGTTTACAGATGGATTGGTTCAGCTGTTGTCGTAATGAAAAAGCCACAGCACTTCATTGGGATGAGGAGAGAGATGAGCCAAATGGCAAAAGCTTTAATTTACCAGTCTGTCTAAATTCCTACCCTCACCAATGATAATGACATTTGAGTCATGACAGAAAGAGCCAGATATCAGATACAAGCAACCGAAACGAGGTTCCTCTAAAACAGGGTTTTTTAACCCAGGTCCTCAGGGCCAACTGTCCTACATGTTTTAGGTTTTCCCCTGCCTCCACACACCTGGCCTGTATGAAACAGTGACTAACAGCCTTTTCAGTATTTTATGGCTGCCTAGGATGTAATGCAATCATTTGAATCAGGTGTGCTTGAGTAGAGATGTAGCTAAACATTAAGGACAGTGGGAACTGCACAGCGTGGTTAAGAATCACTGCTCTACATGATGGCCAGAAACTCCGGACAAGGAGTACATCATCGTCAAAATAAAAATATGAAAAGGGTCCTTTTCATTTTCATACAGCCTTTGTTCTGACCTCTAAATAAAATTCCTTTAAAACTCACCCAATTATTAAGTCCTGTGTGTAATCTAATCCCAGTATACATGTAGAATAACGTCTTAGAGGTTTACAAGAGCCATTAGTCAACAAACTACATCAAGACAGCAAGGATCACAGCAGATAGGTGACGGAGGAGGCTACTGAGAGGTTTAGAGTAGGATTAGGTGATAAAAGGTTTCCTAAGCATTGCAAACTGCATCATCTGCAAATACAAAGAGGATGGCAAACCCACCTAAGATGTTACCTTGCTCCTCAACTGCACCAACTGAAAGACTAGGAATGGAGACATAACAGGTAGGAGAATCTCTCAACCATTAGTCCCTCACTGGCCATTATGGAAGGGCGTTAAGAACGAAACAATTATGGAAAGGAAGCCATAAAATGGCTCTAAATTGTTAATTAATATTCCCTGGCTGATGACTAATAAATACATTTTCTGTCCAAAATTAACACCACACATCCACCATGAAATCATCTTTATTAGGGACAGGGAAGGTGGTGAGAGCTACAGTCAAGCCAAAAATACCATGTCAGAACAGTTCATGAGTTAACTAAAAGTCAGCTGATCTTATCGATTGAGTAATGATTAATTTGGAGCAAGAAGATTCTTCCATAACAATGAAAATATTTTTTCAGTTTTTACAACTGCCTGAAAAAAGTAGCACATCTTTATATTTAACAATGTGTTGTTCAGCCTACAGTATAGCAGACAACATCAGTTACCCTTGCTGTGCAGACAACACACAGTTTTACATAATGTCACCAGGTGACTATGAACCCATCAGAGCATTGGTTAGATGCCTAGAAGAGATTAATATGTGGATGCGGCACAATTTTTTCCAACTGAATACAACAAAACTGAGGTTTTACTACAGCTAGAAACAACTGATTCTGGCCGAAATCTTGATGTCATTATGGACTCAGACATGAACCTTCAGAGTCACATAAAGGCAGTTACAAAGTCTGCTTTTTATCTGCTGAAGAACATCTTCAGGATTAAAGGACTAATGTCCAAGCAGGATCTAGTGAAACTCACTCATCCATTTATCTTTAGTAGAATTGATTACTGCAATCGAGTCTTCTAGGGTTTGGCATAGAAAGTTTATCAGACAGCTGCAGCTGATCTCTGCTGCCCGTGTTGTTAGAATTAAGAAACTGGAGCACATCAGCCCAGTTCTGAAGTCCTTGCACTGGTTCCCTGTAGCTCAGAGAATAGACTTTAAAATCCTTCTGTTAGTCTATAAATCACTGAATGGATCAGCACCTCAAAAAATAGCAGAATTGTTGCCAGTGTATCAACCACTCAGTTCTTCTAAGTCTGCTCTGTACACCCAGAACTAGAACCAAACATGAGGAAGCAGCATTTAGTTCATATTCTCCACTTAACTGGAACAAACTTTCAAAAGACTGTAAAAGTGCTGAAAACCAGAATTCTTTTAAGTTGTCTTTGACTGTTGGAGCTAAACTGTTAGCTGATGTATCATTAGTTGTGTCCTCTAACTGTTTTTTGTTTTTGTTTCACGATCTGTTTTAATCCCCTTTTTAATCATCATTTGCTATTTTTCTGCTTTTATTTTCTTCTATTTTATTGTTTAATTCATTTAAAGCACTTTGATTGTCCTTATACTGAATTGTGCTATACAACTAAAGTTGCATTTCTTGGCTGTGCTAACTGACTCAATGTATTTAAAAAAAAAATGCTCGTCCTTCACACAATATAAAACTTGGACATAATTATAAAGTACATTCAGGGTAATTCTAAGAGAAAACCTAAGACTTTGAGAAGAAATGAGGAATCTCTTTCCAGCATAACAAAAACTGAATAAAAATGAGAAGCGAATCCCTCAGACCTATAAACAATTTAAAAACACAGGCTCAATATACTTTACAGATATCTGCTCATTGTGTTGGTGCATCAATAAAATCCCTTTAAAGAATAAATCATAAATTAAAGGTAGATATGCAGAAAGCCCTTTACT